TTCCATATACACACCACCCTCTGCGTGAAAAAGTTGCTGTCTAGTTTTGGACTCCCCACCCTGGGGAAAACACCTTGTCTGTTTATCCTATTTGTGCTCCTCATGATTTTATAAATCTCTAAAAGGCCACTCCTCAGCCTCCGAGGCTCCAGGGAAAATAGCGCCAGCCTATTCAGCCTCTTCCTATAGCTCAAACCCTTCAACCCTGACAACATCCTTGTAGATCTTTTCTGAACCCTTTCAAGTTTAACAAATCTTTCCTACAGCAGGGAGACCAGAACTGAATGCAGTATTCCAAAAGTGGTCTAACCAATGTCCTGTACAGCTGCAATATGACCTCCCCACTCCTGTACTGAATGTAATGACCCATAAAGTGTACCAAATGCCTTCTTCACTACTGCCTATCTGCAACTCCACTTTCAAGGAACTATGAACCTATAACCCATGGTCTCTTTGGTAGGATCTTGGGGAGTGTTGCTAAACAAATTGTACAAGTCCTGCCCCGATTTGCCTTACCAAAACGCAACCCCTCACATCTGTCTAAATTAAATCCATCTGCCACTCCTCAGCCCATCAGATCAAGGTCCCGTTGTACTCTGAGATAACGTTCTTCACTTCACTACACCAATTTTAGTATCATCTGCAAATTTACTAACCATACTTTCTAGATTCATATTCAAATCAATTATATAAAAATGATAAAAAGCATGGACCCAGCACTGATCCTTGCAGCACACCTATCGTCACAGGCCTCCAGTCTGAAAAACAACCTTCCACCACGACCCTCTGTTTCCTACCTTCAACCCAGTTTTGTATCCAAATGGCTAGCTCTCCCTGGATTCCATGTGATCTAACCTTGCTAACCATGTGTCTACCATGTGGAACTTTGTCAAACACCTTGCTGAAGTCCATATTAACAATGTCCACCACTCTGCCTTCAATCTTGTCACTTCAAAAAAAAAATTAATTGAGCTAGTGAGACACTATTTCCCATGCACAAAGCCACAATGACTATCCCCAATCAGTCCTTGCCTTTCCAAATACATGTAAATCCTGTCCAACAACTTGCCCACCACAGTTCAGGCTTACTGGATCACTGTTCCTGGCTTTTTCTTACCACCTTTCTTAAATAATGGCACATCATTAGCCACTCTCCAGTCATCCAGCACTTCATCCATGGCTAATGATGATACAAATATCTCAGGGGACCAGCAATCACTTAACTAGCTTACCACAGTTGTGTGATACATGTGATCAGGTCCCAGGGATTTATTCACCTTTTTGCATTTTAAGACATCCAGCTCCACCACCTCTGTAATATGGACACTTTTCAAGGTATGACTATTTATCGCTAACTTCTCTAGCTTCCAAATGCAGTAGAGTGGCACAGTGGTTAGCACTGCTGCCTCAGAACCATGGACCCAGATTCATTTCCACCCTCGGACGAATGTTTGTGTGGAACTTGCATGTTCTCCCTGTGCCTTTGTGGGTTTCCTCTGGGCGCTCCGGTTTCCTCCTACAGTGCACAAATGTGCAGGCTAGGTGGATTAACCATTGGGCTACAGAGACAGGACAGGGGGTTGGGATGCTCTTTGGAGCATCAGTACGAACCAAATGGCCCGTTCTCTCACTGTCAGAATTCTAAGATTCTCCACAGTAAATACAGATGCAAGTTACTCATTTAGTATCTCACCCATCTCCTGTGGTTCCACACAGACAGCCTTGTTGATCTTTAAGAGCCCTATTCACTCCTTAATTATTCTTTTGTCCTTAATGTATTTGTAGAATCTCTTTAGATTCTCCTTAATCCTATTTGCCAAAGCTATTTGGATTAATAAAAGTTCAGAATATTTCTTAAATGTTGAGAAATTGGGGAATGTTGATAGCCAATAGGATTGGAGTGATCTCAAGTCATTGGAAGTAACATTCATGTACAACAAACAGTACATTGGCAGTTGTTAGAGGATTTGACTGGACAGTAAAGAAGTCTTACTGTAATTATATGGACCTTTATTCAGACTGCATCAGGAGTACTGTGTAGTTTTGGTTGACTTACCTAAGGATGGAAAAACTTGCCACAGAGGGGAAATGTTCACCAAACTAGATAACAATCACTGCTATTCCATTGATTCGTGACGAGAGCGCGAGGAGACTGTCTATACTCTCTAGCATTTTGAAGAATGAGGGATGATCTCATTAAAGCATATAGAATTTACAGGGTTCTATAGAGTAGTTGCAAGAAGGGTGTTTCCCCTGATTGGGGGAATCTAGAAATAGCAGATGCAGTCACACAGTAAGAGTTAGGCCATTTACAACTGAGATGAGGTAGAATATTTTCACGTACAGGCTGGTGAATCTTTGGAGTTTTCCATCCATGGGGCTGTGGAGGCTTGGTAATTGAGCATATTCAACACAGATCAATAAATTTATAGATATTAACATCAAAAGAAACAGGGACAGTGTAGGAAAACGGTGTTGAGGTCAAATCAGCCATCATCTAGTTGAATGATGGAGCAGGACCAACTTGTACAAAAGGCCTACTGCTGGCTTCTGTTTCTTGTGTTTCTACTACTATATCTCACCTTAAATTAACCAGACATACATTTTCTATTTCTAACATTTAGATTGAAGAGATTGATCTATTTGCTTTTGTATTCATAGTTCGTCCGTTAGAGAATACTCCATGGTATTTTGGGCTTTTCACTATGAGAAAAATCAGTGCAGATTACCAGAATTATAGCTGAGATATGGAATCTGAATTATGAGATATAGAGTCATAGAGATGTACAGCAGAGAATCAGACCCGGCAGTCCAACTTGTCCATGCTGACCAGATTTCCTAAATAAATCTGTCCCATTTACCAGCATTTGGCCCATATCACACTAAACCCTTCCTATTCGTGTACCCTTCCAGATGCCTTTTAAACGTTGTACCAGTCTCCACCACTTCCTCTGGCAGCTCATTCCGTATCCGCACCACCCTCTGCAAGAAAATGTCATCCCTTAGGTCCCTTTTACATCCTTCCTCATGCACCTTAAACCTATGCCCTCTGGTTTTGGACTCCCCCCTCCCTGGGGAAAACACCTTGTCTATTTATCCTATCCACGCCCCTCATGATTTTATAAAACTCTATAATGTCACCCCTTGGCCTCTGATGCTCCAGGGAAAATAGCCCCAACCTATTCAGCCTCTCCCTATAGCTCAAACCCTCCAATCCTGGCAACATCCTTCTAAATCTTTTCTGAACCCTTTCCAGTTTCACAACATCCTTCTTATATCAGGGAGACCATAATTGAATGCAGTATTCCAAAAGTGGCCTAATCAATGTCCCGTACAGCTACAACATGACCTCCCAACTCCTATACTCAATGCACTGACCAATAAAAGGCAAGTATACCGAACGCCACCTTCACTATACTGTTTACCTGGGACTCCACTTTCAAGGAACTGTGAACAAAGAATAATACAGCACAGGAACAGGCCCTTCAAAGCCTGCATCAACACATTTTACCCATGTTAAAATTGTCTTCACTTACAAGATCCGTATCCTTCTATTCCCTTCCTGTTCATGTATTCGTCCAGGTACTTCTTGAACACTGCTATTGTGTCTGCTTCCATCATCTCCTCTGGCAGCTTGTTCCAGGCACTCGCCACCCATTGTGAAAAATGGGCCTCGCATATCTCTTTTAAACATTCCCCCTTGTACCTTGACCCCTCCACCTTGGGGGAAAAAGCCTCATACTTTCCACTCTATCCATGCCATTTGCAATCTTAAACTCCTATCAGGTCACCCTTCAACCTCTTGTATTCCAGTAAAAATAACCCCAGTTTATCCAACCTTTGTTCATAGCTAAAATCCTCCATTCCAGGTAACATTCTAGTAAACCTTTTCTGTACTCTCTCCAAAGCATCCACATCCTTCTAGTAATGTGATGACCGGAACTGTATGCAATATTCCAAGTGTGGCCTAACTAAAGTTCTAGAAGGCTACAGCATAACTTGTCTATCTTGTCTTCTAATGAAGGCAACCATGCCATAGGTCTTTTTTTTAAAAACCACCTTATCTACCTGAGCTGCCACCTTCACTGATCTTTGGTCCAACACAGACAGATCTCTCAAAATATCAATACTCCTAAGGGTTCTGCCATTCACTATATAATTTCCACCTGTATTTGACCTTACAAAACGCGTCACATTTGTCCAGATTAACCTGCACTCCAAGATCTTTGTTCAGCAACTCTCCCTAGGACCTTATCATTAAGTGTTTATGTCCTGCCCGGATTTGCCTTTCCAAAATGCAGCACCTCACACTTATAAAAATTAAACTCCATCTGCCACTCCTTGGCCCATTGGCCCATATGATCAATATCCCGTTGTACTCTGAGGTAACCTTCTTCACTGTCCACTACACCTCCAATTTTGGTGTCATCTACAAACTTTCTAACCATACCTCCTTAGTTCACATCCAAATCATTTATATAAATGACGAAAAACAGCGGACCCAGCACCAATCTGTGGTACACCGCTGGTCACAGGCCTTCAGTCTGAAAAACAACCCTCCACCTGTCTTCTATCTTCTAGCCAACATTTGTCCAACTTGGTTTTGATCTTTCAACTTAGATGTCCAAAATGATAAAAGGAATATATTATGTACACAGTAAAATAAAGACTAAAAAACTGTGACAAACTTGAGCCCAGAATGTTTTCAGCAGAAGGTTGAAGAAATTGTGATGCAAGGAGAAACCAACTGAACACTGGTTGCTCTAGTCTACAGGCTTTAATATGTAAAATTAATATGGTATTTTAATTAACTGTAAAAGGTATTCTAAACTGGATAAAAGTGGTTTAAAATCAAAAAGCATACTGAGTTTGAATTAACTCAAAGTATTGATTTTCAAAATCTTTACTCACGGTAAATCTTTTTGAAAGAAAATTATCTGTGCCACTTACCAACTTTTGTAGTTGCTAGGAAGTTTTATTCTGTACATAAGACCATTTTGTACAAAATATGAAATCTACTTTATTAGATATTACACTACTTAAAACAAAGTACAACATATGTACAATATTAAAATGAAGCCATTTATGTAGGTATCACACTAAAGGTCACTTGTCATATTACTGGACATTCCTCTTGTACTGGGCTTTTTTTTTTAAAAAAAAGCAAATACAAATAAACTTAAAAGATGTCAATCATAAAGCTGCTTTTAAAGAAAAACAGACACCAGAACAAGCTTTGGAATCACCTTTTCTTCAGACATTTAAGAACTTCTTTAACAAATCAAACTGTTCACATGCTGGTTATGGGGTATCCATTTTGTGCTGGTTTATCTACAGAATGATTAAAAGACACTCAAGATGACTAAATTACCTCAGTATTCCAGATTCCACATACCCTATACCAACTAATCATTTAGTTTTGACTTAAATTCTGTAATTAATGAATTGACAACAAATCCCAATGTTTTGCACAGTAACTAGCACAACACTAGTATTATAATATAAACTAAGTTCTGGAGAAACTCAGTAGGTATGGCAGCATCTGTGGAGAAGGAAACAAAGTTAACATTGAGCCTAATGACTCTTCTTTGGAACTCTGTTACACTCTCCACAGATTCTGCCACTCCTGCTGAGTTTCTCCAGCACTCTAGTTTTATTTCAGATCTCCAGCATCCACTATGTTTTGCTTTTATTTACAATACTAGTATTTTTAGTAACAGCCCAAGCAGGTGAAAATTACCACAACTACCTGCACATCATCCAATGTAAACCAAAAAACAAGGACTGACCTTTTTTAATAGAATAAAGATCACCAATTAATATGAAAATTCTCCCAATCATTCCAACAGAAAAAAGGCAATTCAAAGTTGTAGTTTGGTGAGTGTCAATCTTGATCAATAGGTAAGTCAAAATAAGGGGAAACTGCTAAAGACAGGATCATATTCTAAACTGTATACAAACAATATACACTTACTAGTGGCCAAAATAAAGTTACAATCCTTCTCGAACACCTCACACAAACATACTGCTGAACACCCAAAACCAATGAATATGAGAGATAAACTACTAGTAAGCAAGACGGAAGTTCAAACAATGGTATATAAATAAAATGCGGCAAAAGCATGGAAGATACCACATAGTAAAAGCACCCATCTCTCCTAAAAGGAAAGATATTGGGGGTAGATTTCCATGACAACTGCTAAGAAAAAAAAACGCATGTAAAACAAAGTAGATTTTCCAACATGCTTGAGAGATTATTTTAGCATTCACATTTCAAGTTAAACAGGAAGTGCTTTCTGAAATTTGAATATGTTTCTGCTGGTAAAACTTCAAATTTTGTTCTTTTCTTTACAGTCCTGAATACCCCTACAATTTTAAAATTCCTTTAGCACACTAGGCTCAGAATAAAAGATTAAAGTAAGGTAAACAGAGGTGAGAACAGTTTAGAAGATAATTTAGCTGAATGCTTTTGCAGATATTCTTACCATGCACTATTTTGCAATATAAACCTGATGATCAGCTACCACTTTCAAAACGATGCTAAAATTACATGAGATTGATTGAACAAGAGTTTTGATAATATACGCACACACTTTTGTTTTTGTCTGACCAGTTTCTGATCACCAGTCATATTCAGCTATTTCACACAACTGACAACACACATACATATCTTGGTGTTTCACTTGCCTAGCTCATCATAGCTTCATTCGAACGGGTGTTGTGAAATCTAGTACACATTAAAGTTAGAAATGTGTGTGACATTTTTCATTTCTAAAATCTGGCGAGTATTAAATTAGGAGTGTGACAATTTTCCAGATCCATTCTTTACAAAGGATCTCAAAGTTCTTAGTTTTGAGGCAGAACAATTTCATAAAGTAGACCAGCAAACTGGCAAGACAGATTATAAAAACACCAGGAAAGTTACACTGGAGAACATTAATACAAGGAGGAATGGATTAAAATAGTGAACCCTGAGAATTCTTGCCTCAGCCAATTCAGTACGTTGAAGAGTTCCATCAGAACTGTTAACACTCGCCTTGTGTAACAGACATGAAGACAGACAACATGTACAGAACTTTGACAAACCTTACAAAAGATAAAATAAAATGTCAAAGTACCTGAATAAAAAGTTTTGATCTTAACCAATCCAGCAGGAATCAATAGTTATTTTATATATTAATGGGGAATTAAATCAGGCTTAGAATTTCAAGTTAGTGATTTACCTAAAGTTGAAATCCTGTGTTTTAAATTATGTGGTACAATTGTACGGATAAAAATCATGTCAATACTTTTAATATCCCCAAAAGATACTTTTTCATATAGTAGATTGATATAATTTACTTTTAAAAATCAGGCAGGTTCCTTCTTTTAAATAGTCAGATTTAGTGCAAGATGTTTAATGAGTCCAGGAACTGTTGACATTTACATTTATACTAATATATTTTTGGATGCAATAGAATCCTGGGTTGAATACATTCAATGCAAAAACAAAAATGGTTTTAGTACTAAAAATGCAGTCTGTGACTTCTCAAAGAAATTTAGACTCATTGTCCCATTTATTTTCAAATACAGGTGTAAATAAAAAGATAACTATAAATGCAAAACAAATTTTATACAATGGCTCTGTGGACATGACAACGCTCAAATTTAGCTCCATCGTTTGATGGAGATTGTAGAAAGCACAATACCCTATGTACCATTGTTTGAACTACCCAGACTTGACTTCATACGTGGTAAAGTTATTGCCTACAAACTGGATTCAAGAAAGCATTGACTTAAACGTATAGCTGATTGGTATGGCACAAAGCATAATAGCTTCTACAATAGACCGAGTTCAGAGAACAGCTTTATACAATATTCTTCTGTTGAAATAGCCTAATGCCCATCGTGAGCAGATATAATCTCTTCAGCCCGGCGATGGGATTCCAAGGCCTTCATGGTGTAGATATCCTGAGGCAGTTCGGACTTGCGACGCACAAGTGGACGATCCTTTCGAAGATCTTTCTGTGCCTGCAGAAAAGTAATGTTAATAGTACCTGCGACTAAAATGACTTTGCTTTGATTTGAAAAGATATGATTTAAACAACTTTTAAAATTTTTACATTTCTGATTTAAAAGATGAAAGATTATTGATCTGAAATGTAAACTCCATTCTCTCTTCACAGATGATGCAGATGCCTGCTGCATATTTCCAAAATTTTCTGCTTCTTAATTTTAAGGGGAGTAAGTATTTATATCAAGTTGATTTGAAAGCAGTGTTTACCAAGACAATAGCTATTTTAACATATTCCTTTTCCTTCAAGGAATCAATTGACAGAGACAGATTCTTAATAAAGATCGCATTGAAACAGAAAGACCCCATTATAGCAACAATTAATAATGAAATGCCATCTTATTACTGTTGAAAATTATGTTCTGATGCTTATCCAAGAAACACATGAAATAATGTGCTGCATTTATATCCGCTACTACACTTAATGTTTGAGACTGTAGCTTTTCTCAGGAAGAAATTTAGACTCATTATCCCATTTATTTTCAAATACAAGTGTCAATAAAAAGATAAATATAAATGCCAAACAAATTTTATAACTCAATGGTTCTGTGGATACGACAACTCTCAAATTTAATGCTGTAGACTGTAGAAAGCACAATACTCTATGTACTATTGTTTGAACTACCCACCAAGATCACTTGAGATTTAGTATTAAAGGAAGTGGCAGCAGATGGTGAGTGGATTGGATAGGATATTCCAAAATTCCCTGGATTATGGAACAGTTCCAATGGATTGGAAAAATGCTAACGTAACACCTCTATTCAAAAAGAGAATGAGGTAGAAAGTAGTACATTATAGAGCAGTTAATTTACTATCTGTTATTAGGAAATTTTTGGAATCCATTATTAAGGGACATTTGGAAAGTCAAAACATAAGAGACAACAAGGTGCAGGGCTGGATGAACACAGCTGGCCAAGCAGCATCATAGGAGCAGAAAGGCTGACGTTTCGGGCCTAGAGCATCTGCAGTTCCTACTATCTCTGATCCATTGTGTAAGCTTGGTTTCATGAAGGGTAAGTCATGTTTCACCAATTTGCTAGAGCTCTTCAAAGATGTTACAAGCAAAGGGAATAACGGGGCTGCTGCAGATGTAGTATATTTGGACTTCCAGAAGGCATAAAAGGTTAATACACAAGGTAAGCTCACACAGAATGAACTGCCAGCGAAAGTGGTAGATGCAGGGACAGTTACAACATTTAAAAGACATTTGGAAAGGTATGTGAATAGGAAAGATTTACAGGGAAATTTAGTCAAATGCAGACAAATGGGTCTAGTTTAGTTTGGGAAACCTGGTCAGCATGGATAAGTTAGACCTAATGGTCTGTATCTGCGCTGTATGACTCTATGAGGAGGTAATATATTAGCTTGGATACAGGATTAGCTAACCGTCAGAAAGCAGCGTCAAGATAAATGCATTTTTTTTGGTTGGCAAGATGTAACTAGACGAGTAGCACAGGGCTTGGACTTCAGGCCTTAACTATTTACAATCTGTTAATGACTTGGATGCAAGGATAGAAACTGCTGTGGTGAAGTTTGCAAGTGACATTAAAATAGGTGGCAAAGTAATTTGCAATGAAGAAATAAGAAATTTACAAAAGGCCAGAGGAATGAACAACTGTTTTGCAAATGGAGTTTAACTTGGATGAGAGATGTTATCAATTTTGGTCGGAAGAATAAAAAGGCAACTCATTATTGAATGGAGAGAAACTTCATTCGTGTTTCAGTGCAGAGGGATGTGGGTGTCCTCGTGCATGGGTCGTAGAAAGCTAGTTTGCAGATAATGAACCTCAGTTCAGTAGGGCAGATGGAATTTTGGCATTGTTGCTAAAGAAGTGGAGAATGAAAGTAGGGAACGGTACAACGCATTAGTGAGACAACATCTAGAGTACTGCATATGGTTTTGGGCCCCTTACTTGAGGAAGGAGGCAGCTCAAAGTTCATTAGATTAAATTCCAGAGATGAAAAGCTTGTCTTACAAGGAGAGATTCAGCAGTTAGACCTATACTTGCTACAGTTTAGGAGGATGAGGGAAGATTTAATTGAATTATACAAGACGTGAAAAGGATTGTAGAATTGCGTTGCCATCCAGAACTAGAGGTCTTAGTTTTAGACTGAGGGGTGGCAGATTTAAAAACAGATGAGGAAGAATTAAAACAGGAAGAACTGTGGATGCTGTAAATCAGGAACAAAAACAAAGTTGTTGGCAGAGCTCAACAGGTCTGGCAGCGTCTGTGAAGAAATAAACCGATTTTGGGTCCGGTGACCCTTCCTCAGAACTGATTAGGAAGAATTACTTCTATCAAAGAGTTGTGAATCTGTGGTATTCACTACCCGAGAACGGTGGATGCCAGGACATAATAAATTTAAGGAGCAGATAGACACATTTTTAATTAGCAGGAATGTGGAGTTGAGGCTGAGATGAGATCAGCCAACATTGTATTATTGGTGAATAAGGCTGGAGGGGCTGAATTGCCCAGTCCTGCCCCTAGTTCTTACTTTCTTTTCACAAAGCAAATTCTATTTGTATCCATTTGTGGCAAGATCCTACGTAGGGCCCAATGGATTCAATAAAAATTAACCTTAACTATTCCAAACTTTTCTGCAATTTTATATTTTCTTAAAAAATCTTTATTGAATACAATACCTCCATTATTGTAAATTTACATCATAAGAGAAAATTATTAAATGAATCAAGGAATCCACAAAGCTAAACAGAAGAATTAAATTTGAGATTATTCAACAGCTATCAATTTACAGTCTCATGAGACTTGTATATTAATTTCTTCCATGACTTTCATAAGAAACAAATGAAGTAGTATCATTTTTGTCGCCATTTTATACCTGAGTTGCTTGATCTTCTACTGCCTTTCTAATCATCTGGATATCATCTATCAATGGACCATCTGTTTCCATGGCAACTGGACTATTCATGCCACTGGGTTCAATAAAAAGCTGATACTGAAAGATAAAATTTAAGTTTCATGTACAAATAAGCTGAAGTTTAAACTAAAAATAAAAATGGATTCACAAATATCGAGAGAGATAACATATTTCAATTTGAAAACTAAGAGTGTCTCTGTCTGGTTGCACAAAACATTCAGGAACTTTCATGTGGTGCTACTAAAGTTTTATTGGAAGAAGAATGCAAGTTTTGCTGAGGCACTGAATTGAGACAAACCAAAGAGGTGAATCTGGGTCTAATTAATGGCAGACTATTCAGAAATATGGTCATCTTGGATTAGCCAATCTTAGCTACTTAGAAACAGTGATACAACTGGTCAGGATTCTTACTTCAAATCTGTATCCATATTTATATTTATATGACCATACAGAAAGGATAGCATGAAGATTAACAGTGATGCCCTGATGTCAAACCTCCTCCATCATTCAGTGCCAATGTTCACAGATGAATAATTACCACTTTAGTTGGTGAGGATGGACACTTGGATGTGTATGTGTACATCTGTGTAGGGGTATGTGCACAAGTTTGAGGGTGAATGTTGAGGGGAAGTATCAACATTGTAGCCATAGCACACAAAGACCCAATATCTAATGGAGAAAAGTGGCTTAAAACCGAGTGGGACCAATGGAGGAGAGATTTAGAAGTAAGCCATTTACCTTCTCAGCAACATATCACAACACAGGATCCATACTTAAAAAATTTTGTATAAATACAGGTCAATGATGATTTCAAAATAGAAAGTGTAAATATGCAGTTTAAAGTTATCCTGAAGTGACCAAAACGTGCTCAATATATAAATTTCAATATACAATTTGAGTTTCACGTACAAATATCGAATTAAATACCAAGAGAGATGGCATGTTTCACTTTGTTTAGTTTTCCAACATGTAAATTTAAAACATCTGGTATATGGTGAAGATTACAAGATTTTATAATTTAGAACTCCCAGCAGTATATGCAACATAGCCAATTAAATAGTCAATAGGGGAAAAAATTCTCTCAGTGGAACTGTCGTATATCTGTTAGTGATGTCAGGCACTACTGGTGCTTATGCACCTGTTTTCACCTTTTTAATGCACTGTGATAGGCCAAGCACAATTCAGCTGACAATCAAGTTATGATGTTTCCTTGCTTATCTTGCTAAGATGTGCAGTTTACAAACATTTACTACTGATTCGAAGAATGTGCCAACATGTTGGGTAGGATTGTTACAAGTCTTGATTTTTTTTTGATGCAAAGTTACTTATCAGAGAGAGTTATGCACTTTACAGCCATCACACCTCAAACTTAAGCCACAAAAAGGAGTATATTTAATAAGCTTCATATGCTAACCATGTAAAATAGGTAAATAGAAAAGTTGTATGAAGGCACTGATGTACACAAGTGATAGCAAGTTCTATGGTATATTTTCCTTTATTATGCTCATATTGATTTTATATCCATCATTCACACCATTTTGAGTCCTAAATACTGCAACTAATACTGAAAATCTTGGACAAAGCAACTGTCATATCCCTTCAAAATGGGATCTTTAAAGAAGAAAATGTAATTGTTGGAAATCAGAGATAGATTTTAAAAAAAGTGAAAATTACATTTATTCTTTGTTGAAGTTGTTTTAGACTTAGACTTTAACTTCTAACAAATCTGGTATCTAGGACAAACACGATGAGCATTACCCCACCCTCCCCTCCCTATTTAGGGCAGTGAAATTAACAGTGAACTTCAAAAAGGTCACTGCATCTATTCTGAACTGAAGCCTACATAAAATATATTCATTTGAATTAACGTGAACAAGTCTGCTATGCAACATTTTATGACATTATCTTTATGCCTGATTTTATATGGATATTGTCATGATCCCAGCTGATGACAACACTGGAAAAATCAGATCCCAGAGTGAGATCTGGCTGGAGAAGTTTTACTCTTTTTGTTTACTGTGGAGTCAGTCACTGAGCACATTCACAAGAGGCTCCTTTTAACAACAGGCCATAATATTTTATTATACATAAAGAAAATCACAAACTAGATTTACACTATACAAGAATTATTGAAACATAGTCTTTACAAATAGAGTAGAAGACAAAAAGCTGACATATGTGATTTTATAATAGGAAAGACCTTCGAAAGTACTAATTGATGTCACTGTCACTGTAATACTGAGTTCAAGAAATCAACTCTGTTTCTCTTCCCCAAATTTGGTTCTACTAAGGATCATTGGTCAATGTACCCACATAGACATAACGTGGAGATGGTGGGATATTTTGCCGTGACGCCTTCAGGAAAAATGGCACTGGACACATGTTAGAAACAACCAGTTCAATTGATATTGGAAGCTTTAAGTTTCCAAAGATTGATATACCAGTTTCTGGAACCATACCTGGGAGAATTGGCGGAATTTGGAGGGAAAATACAGGATTTGTGAGAATTAGAGGTAAGAAAGGAATGCAATACTACAACATATATCGATAGTGCTAGATGTGTTGTCTTTAGGTAGGGAGAACCAAAGAAACATTTCTTACCAAGTTATAACAAATATATTGTAGAAAACAGAAGTTTTACCTAAATACAATTTTTTTGCTCAGAGATTTAGTCAAAAAATGTTCCTTTTTGATGTTTAGCAAGTTTGAACTCTGGTTAATTATCAGTCATATCTTACTAAATGGCAGACCAGGACTCAAGGGGTTGAATGGATTGCTCCTAATTCCTATGCGTACTATTTTATTACTTGTACTGAATACAACTGTCCACACTGTTTTAAGGGTTCTCATGTTTGTCCCTCTTGGATACACAGATACATAAATAAAAAGACTGACTCCTCAGAACATGCACTGCAAAGTAACAATTCAGTGTCCAGAGCATCTCTAGTCTATCTTAGGTAGTTACTGGACTTGAAACATTAACATTGTTTTTTTCCCACATATGCAGCCAGACCTGCTGAGTTTCTCTAGCAATTTCTATTTTTGTTTCAGATCTTCACCATCCACAGTTCTTTGGTTTAGATTATAAATGTGTTGGGGTTATAAAATACAAAATATTTCGTGCTTTCTCTTTTTTTCTCTATTCACTTTTTGTACTAAACAAACTAGTCACTTATTTCTGGCTCAGAATTTAAACAGCTTGTTTAAAATTCTTCAATTTCATCATTTAAAGAGTTGCACAATTGCCCGCTTCACAAAGGTTTAAGATTTCCCTGTAGAGGGCACCATGTCTTTCCAAAGTTGCAGTGTGATACAAATAGATTCTAAGTCAGTTGGTGAGGTTGAAACCAAGACAAATATCTTTTCCATGTGGAGAATGTTTACTGACTTACTCAGTCCTATCCCTCTCATCCCATAGCCAGTGTCACAGATGCTTCCATCTGTATGTGTGTTCAAACAATTAATATCCACATGAAACTCAACCTTAATAAAGACAAAAATAAACCTTAACAATAGCAATTATCAGATAGTAACTTGTAAAATGCATAAACAGTCAATGACTAGTGCTAAATGCAACAAGTGATGCTGTCCACAAAGTTCGACCCAATGTCTACGTGGGATTGCTACTTCATACCATAAATTATTAGTGATTTTGTGCTGCAGTCTTACACGCATCAGCAACTGAATCAAAATTTTGAAGAAACTCAAGTGATATGGATGTTTCTGACAAGGGCAGCATTTGTTCCCCATCACTAATTTCCCTTGATCTAAGTGGATTGCTATAGCATTTCTAGAGGGCAATGAAGAGCCAACAGCATCACTGTGGGCCTGCAGTTACATGTAGCCCATATTAGGTAAGAATGATAGATCTTTTTACACAAACGAAGAATTTGTGAACCAGACAGGTTTTTAGAACACTGATAATATTTCACGGTTACCATTAACAAACTAATGTTTAATTCTAAATTTAGAAATTGAATTTATTTGAAGCAAATAAGTATAATTAAGCAACAATTAAACTATAAAACATCCATCAGTTACAATCTAATCCAGAATTTAAATTCTGTTGCTATGTCCCAAAAACATTAGTCTCATGCTCTGGATTACTCATCTAATGACATTACCACCATGCCAAATTCGCCTTGTTTGTAATTCTGTAATATCCAGGTTCAAAATTGAGAGAATAGATTAATTGACCATCTGGCAATAATTTCTGAATTCTTAAAAAACAGATCAAATGACCTAAGTTTCACCATATGCACCCTGAAGAGGCATGCATATATTTCCTAATTATAAGAGTGACATGCTAAAATTGGGTAGTTAGAGATTAATCAAGTTTTTAAACAATAGGTGAAACTTAGTTCCTTTATTCCTGAACGGATTTTGTGCATTCAACACAAGAACTGCAGTATGCTTAGAAGGAAATAAGTATACTTAACCGACAAAAAAAAACTATAAAACATTCAGTTACAATCTAATCCAGAATGCTTCCCTTTAACAGAACTGAAACATAGCATTACCCAACTTCAAATGTTTTAATATCTACCTTTGAACTGATAATCGTGACACAGCAAAATACTTCTAGCAAAATATTAAAGGATCATTACTAAAGGGAACTTACTCATTCATCTCTACTTGAGATTTTCATTTAGTAAGTATTTCCCTTTTATAAATATTCCATAATAGGAGTATTTAAATAGCTCCACAATAGTGTTCAATAACTCCTCTTCAACAAGCCCCATTCAGACTTGCTTGACCTAGTGATTGAAATTTTACATGGTCTCATTCTGGTCACTTGGAGTGATTTGATATTAAAAAAAGTATCAAATTATGTTATAAAAAATGCAAGTATATCATAATTGTAAACCACCTCATACTAGCTGATATAAAGCAGCATTGATGAATATCATGGATACAGAAAATGATTTACAAGTACATTACCACAGTGAATATACTTCCATTAGCAGTGAAGTGCTTTAGAATGTCTTGAGATTGTGAAAGGCAATATATAAATGCAAGTTCATTTATCCACTTATAAATAATGAAAACACCATTTGCTGGCAAATACAGAGATTGGAAGTGGGACTTGGGAACACAAGTAGACTACTTGCTTGGAGATAACAAGCCTGCTATGAAAAGACTGTACAGAAGATTACTCACATTTACTAAAAGGCATACACCCTAGTCCCATTTTAAAAATCATTTACTGTAAAAATTGATTTATTCAGTAATTATAACTGGTTAACCATGAATGAACAGGTGTAAACTACACCAAAGGATAAATTTATAACTTATACAAACCAGAACATTACACATTTGGGGCACGTAACTAAGATTTATTGTCAAATCTTTTATTCAGTAACAGTGATCAATAAATAACAATTCAAAATTGAAAAACACAAGGACATGAAGATCTCATGAAGTTAAAAATGTCCATTCAAAGGGTCTGAAAAACTGAATAACAATATTTTAAATGGAAAGGTTTATTGTAATTATTTATTTTTGTTTTAGTACTCTGAAAAATTGAGCTGATTCTGTACATTCAACTTTTTGGACTGTTCTGACCTTACGCGGTAGCTTTCTTTCAGCTCTGTACATGCCATTAGCAATAGTGTCAAAATCCATTTCTAAGGAGATCTTTGTTCCAGATGATTAAGACATTTCATTTGTTCAGTGGGCTAATTTAAAAATCACAAGACATTTAAAAAAAGTTGAAGTTTTGGTGCATTTTGATACAAGTGCCTACCTGATTTTTGGAGACAGGGCACATGGACAGTTCCCAGGATGACCAGTTTTGAAAGGAACCCAGTGTCTGATGAAAGGAAGTCACTTATGAAGTTTGGTTAAAATAAAGCATTTTAGGATGGTCAGTATTTATGGACAAATAACCTTAGGTCAGGTAAAGCACAGGAAAAATAAATTACATTAAATCTTCCTCTACTTTTCCCAACAATGGAATTCAACCTCAACCTCAAAAAGGTGCACCTAAATGGTTGTCAGTATCCTTAATGTCCCAAAGGATAACTGAAACTTTTAAAGTCAAACTACTAGTGTTTTGTTCTGTGGGCAAACGCCTACTAGAGTGAGACTAGTCCTAGTCATTTTACTTGGCTAACTGGAAAGAAGCAAGTCATTTGCTCAACTAGTCTTGGCTACATTACACGGATAAAAAGAAGAAAAACTACTGTGCCACTCAGTCACTTTTAAAATGTACTAGTTAAGCATAGCATACGTAGAGTTGATTCCACCATTCAGATTAAGTAAGACTTTTTTTTGGAGGGGTAGGGTCATGAGGAGGAATGAATGGACAAAAGAATGGAAGGGAACCTGGTTGGAGAAGGGTTACAAAGTCAGAAATTTCCCAGATTGTGAAGAAGAAAAAGCTGAAAATGTGTATTTGGAAAGGCCATTACTGGTAACTCAGCAAATTACTACTGTTAAATTTTTTTTTTACCAGATATACCAATGTTGGTCTTGTTGGGAGTAAGGTAGCGATGGAGGTGAAGGAACGATGGGTGCGCAGTAGATCACTGTCAATTTCACTGGCTCAGAAAATGATTGTCATTCCAGACATCAGCTGCATTTTAGAGGATTGGAAAGAAAATCAGGTAGAATTCACACGGAGTAAAAAGGGAATGCAGACTTATGCAAAAAGAAATTCATCTTTAGGGTAGAGGAAGATTGG